TACATATACATATACATATACATATACATATACATATACATATACATATACATATACATTTAAACATGCACACGTACATCAAACATCAATCATGAGTAGAGACCTACCCGTGCTCATCGTAGTCACTTTTTGTGACGGTATAAGTTTTCAATAACGTGTAGGACTAAGAAGCAATCACTTCTTGATAATATGTGCTGATGTTCATCATGATCACATCCTTTTATATACTCATTTGCCGGGATGTCATCGTAGCTTCAGAGAGATTGTCATTGGGATGAAGATGTATATATTTATTTTGTGTAAAAAAAATAGTGTACATAGTTTTATAATAATAACACAATAGACAGTTTGACAGAACTGTATAAATGAACCCCTTTTTAAAAATTAAAAAATAACCAAATATACGATGTCAACCATATTTTTAACTTTACATACAACACAGGGATCACAAAGGGTCACTATGTCACAGCCTCACGGGGGCATCTAAAAACATCGACAAAAAATGAACCCGGTGATAAAAAAAAAGCCGCACATACCTCTCAGAGTCTCAGAGTCTCAGAGTCTCAGAGTCTCAGAGTCTCAGAGTCTCAGAGTCTCAGTTCTCAGTTCTCACAGCTCACTCTCTGGCACTTTGGGTCCTCTTTTGCTTTTGTTTCTTTTTGTATTTACTGTTTTTGTTTTTTGAGGTTTATTTTTGCATAGCCTTCTTTTAAATTAAACATCTTTTTTAAAAACAACCAAAAACAAAAAAAAAACCAAAAACAAAAAGTTAAAAAATAAATAAAACAGCAAATATAAAAGGACCGTCCTTCGGACGTTTGTTCGATCCCCTGTATTTTGTTATTTTAAGTCTTCTCTTTCTCTACTAGAGAGTAGAGAGAGGGTCATGTCACTCATGACCAGTCTTCTCAGATTCGGAGTCAGACAGTTAGAGCCTCAGACTTCACTCAGGGGAGGACAGCCGACAATCACAGAGGGTCGATCACTCGGTATACGGTAATGAGTGACGAGTAAGAACCTGAAGACGTCTAAGCAAAAGCCGGAAGAGGAATACCCACGACAAAACAAAACAAATCAAACATTTACCTAGCTCTGGTAAATTTTTATTTACATTGTGTAGTTAGTATTTGTTTTAACAAAATGATAGAGCCGTCAGGCGTCAGGCCGCGGCGTCAAGCAACATTTACAATATAAGATACACATACAAACAATGAACCAGCCACGGCAGCCGCCAGCCAGTCATCAACCACCGTCCACAGACTGGCACAGAGCCACACTCCACAGTCCACACTGCCCAAAGTCTACAGCCCACAGCCCACAGTGCCGCAATTGCGGGCAATCGTGATGGCTATTTATTTTTTGCCTTTTTAGGAACTCACGGGCAAATTAGTTCTATAAATAAAACAAAATACAGCGAGATCGAAAATTGTCAGAGTTTTATCCAATACGGAAGACATAAATTTAAAATATCAGTATGTAAATATGTATGTAAATATCAGGCTTTTCTGTTTAAAATGTTTAAAACAAAACAAAAATGTCACGACCTAGGGGCTAGGGCTTGGGGCTCGAGGTAGGACTTGAATGACTTCTTTTTTTATTTTAATTTATTTTAAAAGAAACAAAATGCAGACAAGGGTTGAAGGTGGAACTGCCTTGAAGGGTAAATATTTAATCCCTTAACTGCTTCATGCTGGGCAGCTGGGGGGAGTTGGCCCAGGGCCCCTGGCCCCAGTGGGGGCTGTGAAAAATGCACACATTTTTTTGTATAAAGAACTCGAAAAATATTTAAATAGAATGATAGAATGTGAAACCCAAAAGATAACAAATTTTTTCTTCTTCGAGTTTTAGCCCTTGTCTGAAATGTTTTCAGGCGGCTTATTTTACTCTACTCTCTCTACTTACAAGAGAAAGAGAGAGACTCGTAGTGTAGACGCCTGACACCTCCCTCGGGCGGTCAGGCCTCGGGTGGTTCCGCGATCCACATGTGTGTAATCGCGCGCGCGTGTGTGTGTGTGTAAGAGAGAGAGAGAGTATGGGAGAGAATATAAATAAAGCAAAGGGGGCCATCTGTTTATCACAATAACCCTATTCATTAGCAATACATATTTTTTGGACGAATCATGCAGATTCTATCGGTTGTGCTGGCTTACCATTCCTTGGTGACCCTTGCGTTCTCTCCAATACTCATGTTTGCACCGGAGATGTTGACGAAGGCGGATCAGGCCAAGAAAAGTGACGACGTACCAGCCAGCGCATCGATCAAATCAGACAAGTCGACTGTGATAATGCGTATTTGCGGCATTTGGGTGTTCTACGGAGGCTTGACGTCACTTTATGCTACTGGATATTTCACTGCTGTTACGAATGAGCTTCAAGTGGTTGTTTCAGGGGCATTGATGCTCACTCACTTGGCCGAGGCTGTGGTAAAGATGATCTACACCGGAAACCATATGTCAAATACGCACGTGTTTATCCTACTTCTTGTTGGGTTGATCCTCAACCACATCATATGAGGCGTTCATTTTTAACCGAGTACAATTGGGTCCCAATTAATCAATTTCTACTTAAAAAATGTGCACTCATATACCACACATTTCTCGGTGCACGTATGAGTTGTGCTGCCAGAAAAACAGTTGTATATTATGTGTGTACGGTGAGCATACATTTTGTGTACGAGAGAAAACATAAACTAAAATATATATAAAATATGAGCTCGGACGCAATCTGGAAACCATATAAACTTATATAC